AGAAAGTCAAGCAAAGACTTCCTGTTTGCTGCTGGCCGCCGCCAGACGTTCCTTTGGGATCGTCAGCTTCCACTGCCTGTCAGAGCCGCCTTCACAACGGAACGGCGGCTCGAAAAAACTCCGTTCCCATGAGGAAACGGAGATAGAGCCGGCAGGGGTGGGTAGAACTCTCTGCAGAGTCCCAAAAGTTTTTCTTTTACTTTTGGGATGGAGCGGATGAGATGCCCCATATCCCCAGCCGCTGCTCCGGGCTTTGGGAGACCTCTGCTAATGCAGAGCCAGGCGTCAAAAGCAAGCCTGCGAATTTGACAGATTACTCAAAGAAAATGTGAGCTGGACCTGTAATACTGAAGCGCAAGTATTTAACTTATCTTTTAAAAATTACTTAAGAGAATAGAGGAAGAGAAAGAGGAAAAAAGTTTCTTTTTAAAATGGCGTCTGCCGCGGCTGGAGAAGAGTTTGAGAGGGAAAGTTCTTCCGTTTTTTATTATTACAATGTAGCGGAATAAATACCACTGGCTACATTTGTAGACAAAACTCCGCTCCTGTTTTTGTTTTTCTCTTTTTCCCCTGGAGGCATTGTTGCTGGCTGGAAGTCTTTTGTCTTGTTTTTTTTTTTTTTTTCTTCTAACAAAGCCTGCTTAGGCGGAAATATGGCACTGAGGCTTGTGAAGTCAGACAAACAAATAGGTGGGGGGGGATTCCCCCACTAAGAATTTAAAGGAACAAGTTTTAACTCTTCAGTCCCAGAAACCTGATTTTAATATAATAGAATTTCTCTTAGAGGAGATTGAAAGAAGGGATGAGATTGTGAATCAGCAACTTGAAAAATTTAAGCAGGAAACTAAGGAATTGGTGAAATCCAAGTTTGACTTTTTGCAGCAAAAAATTTTAAAAATGTCAGAATTCATGATTCGGTTGGATACAAATACTAATTTACTAGAGTCAAAAATGGATGAAATTCAAGATAAATTGGACAATAGAATTCAAAAAATTGAAAATGATTTGTTAAATATTCAGGATTATAGTTCAGAAGAAAAATTTAAAATGGATGCTGACCAAAAGTCTGGTAATGTAGAAAATCTGCAACAGAGGATTGAAAAAGAGGTTCTAAAGATACAATATAATTTCACAGAATATGCAATAAGACTTAGAGGTTTGCAGGAAAATAACAGAGATGACTTAAGGAAAATATCTTCTGAATTTCTAGCTGGGATTTTAAAGATTCAACCTGAGGAAATGTTTTGTAGGATTGACAGAGCTTATCGAATAAACTCCTGGACTGCCAAGCAAAGGCAATTGCCTAGAGATGTGGTAATCTATTTTTCAGATAAAGAAATTAGGAATAAAATTGTGCAAAATTCCTTCAATTCTAATTTGCAATTGTATGGAAGAAAGATTTGGATTTACAAGGAACTCCCACCTAAGATATTAATGGAAAGGAAGAAATTTGGCTTTCTGGTGTCTGAGTTAAAAAGGAGAAATATTCAATTCCGGTGGGATGTCCCAGTTGGTATTATATTGAGATATCAAGGAGAAAGATACCAGTTAAATACTGTTGAAAGAGCGGAAGAATTTTATCAAAATAGGTTGAAAATGAATTTAACGTCTTCAGATATAATACAGGATAAGCAGAAGGAGCTGGAACTAAAGACAGAGACTGTACCAGATAAATTGCCTTTGGATTTATCGGATACCCCAGCTGGATTATCTACAAATTTGAGAGAAGTGCCATCTGATTTTAATGTGATGACTTATCAAGGCAAGGACAAGCATGGAAACCAATTAGAGGATATACAAGGGATAAAAAAGAAATGCGAGACACAAAAAATTAGGATGGAAGTCAAACCCACAAAAAGAAAACAAAAAAAGAAATAGGTTGTACAAAAATAGAAATTTCTAACCCAAGCAACAGTGAAGCCAGTGATTTTAAAATATGAATGATTATGTGAAAACATAGAGGAGGCGACATATTGGTCAATATCATCCTGAGGATAGTGGCAGATCTCTGCATTGCCGTAATTTTGGGACATGGAAAGAGCCTCAAATTGATGGTTTTGAATTATCTACTTTGAAACTTCTTTTTGTGTTGATAAATATATTATAATTATCTTGAATTATAAGGCAAGAGAATCACATTGGGACATGCAGAAGATCGGGTTGTTACCCAATACGATGATGGAAATTAATAATCCTGATGAAACCCACAATTATTATTATATGGAATATAATTATAATGTCACTCGGGTGGTTGTTTTTACTTTTATATATATAAGAAGATGTTTACTACTGATGGGGGCAGATATGATTGGAGATCTTGAATAAACTGTTGCATCAGCAAGCTATGTTACCCTATTATGGATGTTGGTTTTAACAATCCAGTGGAAAGACTTCAAGAAGATATTATATGGACTATAAATTTAAAGTTATTGTCTTTTCTTTTTTTATTTAGATATAATGGAATATATATATATATATATTTTTAAGTAGTGTGGGCAGTGAATTAAAGATATCAAGAATTGTTGTGTATGGTAAATTTGTAAGACAGTGGGTGAATAAGCTAGCTACAGACTGATTAGTTTAAGAAAAGGGATTTTTAAGTGATACATTTAGGGGAGTGGAGGAAATGGATAGAGTGGAATAAATGTTAAATTAGATTTTATGGGGAGCCCGCTTTGAAATGTTATTAAAGTAGGACTTATCGTATAGTTTTAAAGTGGAAGGTGGTTTTGAATTGTTGCAATAATGTATAGATATAAAACACTATTATGCTAAATTAGAAGTTATTTTATAATAGTTATAGTATAATGTGTTTGTTTTTTTTTTTGTTTTTTTTCTCTTCTTCTTTTCTGAAATGTATGGATAAAGGGGGATTTATAATACTTTTAGTAAGTAAAGGTCAGTATTTTGAGGAGGGAGTAAGTAATCTGTTATGAATTAGGGTTTTTTTTTGTTACGAAGAAGTCACAGGGGGGGAAGGGTGGGGAGGGGGGGTGAGAGGGGGGGGGGGGGGGGGGGGAAAAGGGGGAAAAATTTGTATTTGAAAACCTTTTCAATAAAAAAAAAAAGAAAGTCAAGCAAAGGGGGAAAAAAAGTACCAGCAAAGCAAAGAAAAAAAACTCCGGAGAAGTTCAGGTGACAGGAAGTCTAAGTGTACTGTCAAGAATGTAATAAGGGTTGATGGAGAGGCAGTTTCTGTAAGCAGGGCAATAAAGATTAGGTTAGAAACAACACCAGAATGTTGTGATTCCTTACAGGATTAACTGTGTAAAGTGGAAAAAAAACAAAAGGAGATTTCTTCTAACAACCCGTTCTCTGAACTGCTTAGAAAATTAACTACTGGTTCTAGCGAATAGGTGCGAACCGGTAGAATCCCACCTCTAGTTTTCCCTGGAAAGCACTTCATAGATGCGCATACAGGGCAACTCACCACATAGGCTTCTATGTCCTTCTTCATCCTCGCCCACCAAAACTGCCTCTTTACAAGATTCAAGGTTTTAAAAACCCAGAGTGCCCTGCTAGCTTCACATCATGACTCCTTTGTAGGATCATAGTTCTTTGATTGGCTGTGACATATACTTTACCCCCCTTCTATGCTAAGCCTTGCTTTAGCATCAAATCCCTCGTGCTTTTGAAACCACTCATCCTCATCCAGGGTTTATTTCAGTCGCAGGGTCAGTGAGTCTCCTCCTGATCAAGGGGGCTCTTCTGGGGCTGGCTCACATGTTCAGGCACAACTTGGTTTGGATGGGAATTAGAATTAACAATCTCTTCTCTAGTGCTTTTATACTGAGGCAGGCGCAAGAGAGCGTCTGCTAGAAATTCCTCCCCCCCCCCGGCAAATAGCACAGGGTGAAATTGAACCAGTTAAAGTACTGGGCCCACCGGACCTGCTTAGGGGACAATTTCCTTGGAGCCCTAAGTTCTATCAGATTTTTGTGGTCAGTCCAATACTTCGAATGGGATTTGCTACTTTCTAAGAACTGCCTCCAGGTGAGGAGGACCCAGCAGATGGCACAAACCTCCTTTCCCCAGATTGCCCACTACCTCTGAGGGTCAGACAGTTTCTGAGATGTATAGGCACAAGGCTGCAGTTCTTCCATTTCATTTCTCTGCAATAATATCGTCCCCATGGCCACGTCTGCCTGGATCATGAACAGCTTCTCTGGGTTCAGTGTTTCAAACCTGGCTCAACGGCAAAAAGTCTCTTTAGCTTTTCAAAAGCTGCTTGGCATTTGGCAGTCCAATTCAAGGGTTGACTCGATCTCGGCTTTACCCCACTACCACCCCTTTTTAACAGGTTTCTGATAGGCCATGCTATCTATGCAAATGTGGGAATGAATTATCTATAAAAGTTGTCTACATTCAAAACACCTGCACAGCGTGTTCTTGAGGATGGTAGCAGGATCTCACGATCTGCAGATGGAGTCTTGCATTCTATGGAGTCTTCCATTCCCACCCCTGACATTCCAACTACCCCCTTCTCGATTGTTGTCAAGCTGAGAGTAAAGAAGTAACTAGATGAAAGAGCAGATAACTCTTGACAAAAACTTAGTATTAGATCAAAGATTCTATCAACGTATCTACTACTGTTATGGGAAATACAGCAGCTTTTTTTCCTGCTACATTCAATTTTAGATAAAGAGTTAAATAATTTTATGCTTGTAATATTGATATTTTAAAATGTGATTAATATTAATATAATTGTTTTCAATACTTTTAGCTTTATAAATAATACAATGTTAATAATTTATGACTGCATTACATAAATATTTCATTGAAGTTAAATTAAAATAAAATTAAAATAGAATATCAAGATTTATAACAATAAAAGGGAAAAAAAGACAGAAAACAGGCTTTAGTCTGAAATTTATACACTATTATACACTGTTAGGTTTTCAAACTCCAGACTTAATACTATTTAATATAAGTCATAAGGCAAATATTTTGTAGCTTACTGAATAATAATTGCAGGTGAATGGACTTTTTCTTTTTTGTAGTTGATGTGTCTGCAACAGTACCTTTGCAAGTTTCACCTATGGATTTTCACTTGGATCATCAATTCTCCATATCAGTGACTGAACCTACATTACGTGAACAGCAGCTCCAACAGGAATTATTAGCCCTCAAACAAAAACAACAAATCCAGAGACAGATCCTCATAGCAGAATTCCAGAGACAACATGAACAACTTTCTCGTCAACATGAAGCTCAACTACATGAACACATAAAGGTGTGTGATGCAGCTTGAAGGGCAGGGATGTGGGGTATGTGTGCAAGCCTGTGGTTCCTATATATTGTATTTTTTAAAATTCAATTTGTGTGTGTGTGTGCCTGCTTGCCTCCCTGAATGACTGATGGATTGACTGGAGTATTACTGTTGCTGATGTGCAAGAAATTCAGTTTCCATAATGTCTCAGTGAGTAAGTGAACAACGAGAATAAACAGGGCTTTACCAAGGGAGTTTTGTGTGGGAGGAAACGGGAGAGGATTTCTTTCCTCCCTCCTCCTCCTCTTTTTATTATTTTTTGTTCTAGTTCAAAAATATGGTTTCTGAAAACTTAGAATCAGAGCAAGTTACATGGGAAAAAAACATTGTGAATTTGGCTAGAATTGTAAGGACCAGCTTCTCCCCCCCTTCCAAGAATGTACAAACTCTTGAGAACTTTGTATTTCAAAAGGAATCTTTTATTGAAATGGATGAAAGCAAGTCAAAACTCAAAGCAGGCTCTGGGGTCCCTCTGGGCATGCAGTTCAGGATAAAGGAAATTAGGAACCCCTGCCCACCTTCTGATGTGGATTCCAACCAATCCACAGGTGTGAATACGAATTGCATCAGGCTCTCTGAGAAACAGATCTGAAGAGTTTCTTAGGGTTATTTTACAATTCGCTCGTTCCCCCTGTCAGGCATGCCTCCTTTCAATACTCAAGAAAGAAAAACCCCGACTCCATTTTCATAGAGAAAGGTACTTTTACTGAGTGAGAATTGAATGCAACCAAAGAAAAGCAAGGTCTGAAGCAAAGGTGTGAAAATCACATATAGAAAGCATCCCCCTCAACTGTCCAGCATAAATCATCCAATCCACAGGTTCTCCAGGGGTCATGTGGGTGCAAACGTCTGGCAGTATCATCTTCTTGCTATGCCACGACAATTGACCTTGAGACGTTATCAGCTTCAAAGAAAATGCTGCAGCAAAGTTTTTTCTTCTCCTCCAGCTCACTTCCCCCCTCCCAATTCCAATAACTCCCCCCTCGCCCCCTTTCATGGCAGCCGAGCAAGTAAGCAATGAAAGATCGGAGGCTGACATTCGGCCATCCTGCAGAAGACACATTATTCCTACAAGAAACCAAAATGACATAAAACAAATGATCACAGAAATAAAGCATGACATAAAACCAGATTAAGGTTTATCAGGATATTTGGAGTGAAACAATTGTACTTTCCTTGGAGCTCTAACATCTTGTTTATTGACCCATTCAGCTTTAGATAATGGGAAATGTTTCCAGGCCACCAAATATTGCACCTTACCACGATGCTTTCTAGAGTCTAAGATTTCCTTGATCTCAAAATGCTGTACCCCCTCAATTAGTATGGGGACAGGAGGAGGTTCTTGGTCTGGACGTAAAGGGGACGAATGCTCCGGTTTCAGCAAACTGACATGAAACACCAGATGAATTCACTGCAAACTTTTTGGTAACTCCAATTGTACTGTGACTGAGTTAATAATCCGAACTATCGGAAAAGGACCCACATACTTGGGTCCAAGCTTTTTTGACTTTTGGGTAGTTTGCAGGTATTTGGTGGAAAGGTAAACCATATCACCAACCTTATAAGACCGCCCTTGAACCCTCTTCTTATCGGCCTGGGCTTTATGAGCCTGGTGTGCTTCATCCAGTGCCTTGCGCGTTACTGACCAAGTGCCATGTAACTGTTCGATCCAATCAACCAAGGAGGGGATTTGTGGGTTTTCCTGAGGCAACTCTGGAATGGGCACAAAATCTCGGCCAGAGGCCACCTTGAAAGGGGTAAACCCCGTGCTGCTATGTATGGAGTTCTTATAGGTCACCTCTGCAAACGGCAGTAAATCTGCCCAGTTATCTTGTTGATAATTTATGTAACATCTTAGATATTGTTCTAATACGGAATTGGTTCTCTCACAAGCCCCATTAGTCTGGGGGTGGTGGGCAGAGCTTAACCATTGGGCGGAGCCTAACAACCCTAGGAACTCTTTCCAAAAATGGGAGGTAAATTGAACTCTCCTATCTGAAATTATCCGCTCTGGAGCTCCATGTAACCTGTATACATGTTGGACAAACAATTTTGCCAGCGTTTTTGCAGAAGGGATCTTGGGATATGGGATGAAATGCACTTGTTTAGAAAACAAATCAGTTTTCCAAATAACTCTGTTCCCCCCACTTTCGGGCAATTCTACAATATTTCCTTCCATGGAGCACTCAGTCTGGCAACACTCTGATGCAGTCCAGGTGGCTCCCTAGGAGGTCTCTTGGCCGAAGCACACACGGGACAGCTGGCCACATATGCCTCTATGTCCTTTTTTAGTGCGGGCCACCAGAACTGCCGTTTAACTAGATGTAATGTCTTCACGAACCCAAAATGTCCAGCAACCTTGGCATCATGGGGGCGCTGTAAAACTGTTGCTCTCAGACTGGCGGGAACATACAGCTTGGCTCGCACCCAAGCAAGTTTTTCCCGAAGTGTATACTCAATTGAATGGGCCAGAAACCACTCGTCGGTCTTTAGAGCTTCTCATAGCTGCTTAGTCAAGCTGCTTAGTCTGTAAGGATCTGTTTTTGCCAGGGCTCTAGTAACTACTGGTGCCGCCAGTTGTTTTGAGGGGATAATTGGCTGAATCACCTCCTCTCTCACACTATTGTATTGCGGCAGTCTTGAAAGGGCATCTGCCATGAAGTCCTTCCCTCCAGGAAGGTAGTGCAGAGAGAAATTAAATTGTTTGAAGTGTTGAGCCCAACGGACTTGTTTTGGGGACAGTTTTCATGGCGTTTTCAAAGCTTCTAAGTTTTTGTGGTCAGTCCACACCTCAAATGGGTGCTTAGCTCCTTCAAGGAATTGTCTCCACGTTAACAGTGCCCAATGAATCGCAGAAGCCTCCTTCTCCCATATGGCCCATCTCCTCTCAGTCTCTGACAACTTACTAGACGTATAGGCACAGGGATGCAGCTTTCCTTCTGCGTTCACTTGTTGTAACACGGCCCCGATGGCTATGTCGCTGGCATCAGCCTGTACAACAAAAGGGGCTTCCATGTCTGGATGTTGAAGGACCGGTTTGGCACCAAACAGCCGTTTTAGTTTCTCAAACGCCGCCTGACAGTCCATAGTCCATTCGAGAAGCTGGGAGGGCTTTGGCCTCTCTTCTCCTTTCGTTTTCAGAAGATTTGTAATTGGTAATGCAATTTTGGCGAACGAGGGGATGAACTGTCTATAGAAGTTAGCAAATCCCAGGAAGCTCTGTAGTTGTTTGCGGGTACAACACTCCCCGGACCTTTTCCGGATCCATCTCTATTCCCTCATGTGAGATGCGGTACCCCAGATATTCAATTTTGGTTTGGTGGAATTCGCACTTTGATAGTTTGGCATACAGTTCCGCAGCCCTAAGTTTTTTCAGGACGGTCCTCACCAACTTTGCATGGTTGTCCATGGTCTCAGTGTAGATAAGAATGTCATGCAAGTAGACCAGCACCCCCTTGTACAGGTGTTCATGCAGCACTTTGTTAATTGCATGAACATAGCAGGGGCTCCTTGCAGTCTGAAAGGGAGCACCCGAAACTGGAAACATCCTAGCAGGCAGTTAAAAGCCATTTTCCATTCATCCCCTTCCTTAATCCGAACTCTATAATAGGCCTCCCATAAGTCCAGTTTGGTGAAAATTTTCCCCTTGCCTAGGTGGGCTAGCATGTCCTTCATGAGCGGCAGGGGGTAAACATTTTGTACGCAAATGGCGTTAAAGTTTCTGTAGTCGACCACCAAGCGAAAGGACCCATCCTCCTTCTCCTGAAAAAGTACCAGTGCTGCCACCTGCGGCCTAGCCGGTTGGATAAAATCCCGTTTTAAGTTTTTGTCAATAAAGTCTCATAGTTCCCCCAGCTCCTGCGGGGTCATGGAGTAGATTTTTGGCTTAGGGAGTTTTACTCCAGGAAGTATTTCAATGATACAGTCAGTTGGCCGGTGGGGGCAGCACGTCTAATGCCTTCTCACTGAACACCTCCCAGAGGTCCCAGTACTCCTTTGAGATCTTTTCCTCCCCCACAATGTGGTCTGTTGCCATTGCCGCCCCCTCGTTTCCCACTCCGTCCACAGAGTGGGGTTACTCCCCTTTCTTCCCTGCTTTTTTGGAGAGGATGCGCAAAACTCCTGTTTTCCAGTTTATGTGCGGGTTTCATTTATGGAGCCAAGGCAGTCCAAGTATGAGGGGCCGTTCCATGCCCGGGGCCACAATAAAACTAAGAGTCTCCAGGTGATCCCCCATTTGCATCTCGATTGGCTCGGTCACAAAATGGGCTGGGCCCCCTCCTGCCACCGATCCGTCTAGCTGACAGAATGCGATGGGCCTTTTCATCATTTTTAGTCTTAGGCCCATCTGTTCAACCACATCTGGGCTGATTATGTACCTGGTGCATCCAGAATCTAGGAGGGCTGGCATCTGGCCATGGGCCCCGGTGGATGGTACCCTAAATTCTACTGGGATGGTCATGGGGCCCCCTTTCTGACTCACCAGGTTGTCGTCGTCGGAATCAGTGTCAGTCTCGCTGTCGTCAGCGTTGGTCGGAGTTCCCAACTCACCCTGTTTCAGGGGAGCAAACTCAACGACTTCTCTTTTCAGGGTGGTCTCGCAGGCTTTAGTGGGCATTCTATCAGCCTTCTTTCCTCCGGTAGAGGTCGCCTTGGGCGCTGGCTTGGAGAAACACTCAGCGGCTCAGTGCCCCTCCTTTCCACATTTGAAACACGCGGAGGATTTTGGCTTGGGCCCTGCCTTCCCCACCACTGCCTTTGGTGCCCCCTTGTGGAATGAGGAGGGTGGCTGATCCCAAGTGCGCCTACCACAGAGACTGCTCCAGGCCAGGTCGATCTCCACGTCCGCTGCCAACAGGTACCAGCTCTGCAGGTCATCTGGGGCCCCCCATGAACGGCAATCTTTGTAGACGTTCACATTCAACCCATCTTTATAATTCTCTAGTGGGGTCACTTCTGACCAC